ACAGATAGACAAGCCCGATTCAGCGAGGGCTCCTCGACTCGCTTTTACCTAGATTCATGCCGAACTTCTCCCAAACTAGTTTTCTCCTCTCCTTTCCTCTCTTCTTCAACTCCAAACCCCTAAACAAAGTGTTTTGAAGGATTTGCCTCTCTCCTTGCTGAAGAAACTGAACATTTGCCCTGCACACCTTTCTCCGCCAAGCAAAACATCAGTGGTGCCCAAGTCTTAAGGGCGGTCAAAAATGGGGTGTCTACACTAGCTCCTGGAGAATTGGCAGGGGTACCATTACCTTCCAACTGATGTCTGGTAAATTGGCATTCATTGTGAAAAGATGTATCATTGGCTTACCGTGCTAGAGGCAGGTAGGGCGGAATTTATTTATTGTTATAGCTTTGGTATATTTGAGTATGTCATGTGTTATGATGGTTGTGGTTTTTGGATGGCTGAATTGCTTAAATTGTAGAAGTAGATCGTTGTTAGATTCTTGTCGTGTTTCTTTTCGTACTAAAGGTATACTTGCATGGGCATGGATGTGTGGGAAGTAGATGTGAGTAATGTATTGAGATTGTAAGAAATGTGAAAGTTATTGGTTACTCATAAACATATTTTTGAAAAGTCAAATCAAGTGCAAGTCTAAAAAGGGTGAGAAAATGTAAAAGGTTTTTGGTAAAAGTTTTGCTTCAAGAATTTGTTATTTGTCATATAAAATTTGGTAAAATGGTGCTAAGAGGAAGGAAATACGAGTTGTCTACATTAACGAAAGAAATGAATGTTTTTGAGAAAAGTATATATGTAAGTATATTTTGGTTATAATTTGTCACATTACTTATACGGTATGAGACTAAGCATTCATGGTCACAGCTATTTATAAGTTGTTATTGTTGAGGATCATGTTGAGATCCCCACTGGACTTTATGTTCATCCCACGTTGTTAATCTTTTTCAGGTGTATCTCAAGAAGCGTTACAAGGTCATGGATCTTCCTTAACTGTTGGCCACGGGGCCTTTTATTTGTAGGTGGAATGCCATTGATGTAAAAAGGGTTAAACCCTTTCTTTTACTTTAAAGATGTAAGCCTGCAGGCAATTTATTTAGTTATGTACATGTTGCATTTAATTTACATTTCGGATGAGAGAATCTTCATTTATTCTTACAAAAGATGTAAAGAGTTTCCGTATGTTATCTCTGAAATTGAGGCTAACTTTGGCAAGTTGTAAAAAAGTTAAAAAGTTAAAAAGTTGTCACTATTCACCAAAAGTCAAAAATTACGGTTGCACAACTCCCAATCCTAATTTTTCCCTACACACGAATTTATACAATTTTTTAATACACATTTTTCCATAAAAAGTCAAAAAGTTAATCCAAACATCTATATTTTTTTTCTCAATTTTTAGTCCAAAAAGACAAAAAGTGCACTTATTTAGGACACCCCAAACAACCCCTGAATAAACTTAATGAAGTTGGTAATGGATTCCGAATAATATAAAATGGGTGAAGTTAGTATAATTTAAATTAGATTTGGATTTATGTAGAACTCTATTTGTAATTAAGAAAAATATATGCTAATGTGACTCTCTTAAAAAAATAAACCCTTATAGTATGTCACCTAAATATGAAAAAAATATTACTTCTAATAATATAGGCATGATTTCAGGCTATCGTTTTTGTAAAGTCAATTTTGAGCCTTCTTGTTGATTCTTTTCTTCATTGGGCTTGTAAATTTGCAAGGTTATTAACAGAAAGAAAAATGTTTGGAAGTTCTAAAATATGAGCTTTAAAGGAGTTTTAGGGAGTAGCTTCATCCATTGATGTGATGCTTTGGCCTTAATATATACATATATATATATATATATTTGAATTTCCACATCATTAGATTTCAATTAAAACTCCAAAATTAAGGAATGTATCATTGTTGTAATAGAAATCAAGCATGCATGTCATTTTTATGCCTACGTTTTTCTTGGTCAGCCAAATTGTTTCATGGGTAATTTTGGAAATTCAAAGATAATTAATGACACCTGGTACTTTTTCTTCATCAGTATTTTTTTTTTTTTGTATGCTTTTCTTTTCTTCTTCTTCTTCTTTTTTTTTTTTTTTTTTTTTTTTTTTTTTTTTTTTGTTGCTCTTCTTCATTCGTTTGTCTATATTTTCGAATGAAATTTGAAATTTTATTTTCAAAATTGCATTGAAGAAGTTGATATCCTACAGAGTTCATTTAGAATTTTATCTTCAAAATTGATCTAATGAAATTTGAAACTTTATTTTCAAAATTGAATCAAAGGATTTAATCTCCTGCAAAGTTCATTTAGAACTTCATTTTCAAAATTGATTCGATAGAGTTGATCATGTATAGAAGTTCAATGAGAATTTTCCCAACAAAATTAAGGTTTCTTCTTTCTCTTTAGATGTCATGTATAATTGATTTTTTTTTTTTTTTTGTTTACATTTTATTGCGTTGAAAAAAGGATTTTTTTATTTTTTTTTTCTAGCTTGTCTAGCAAACATAAGCCATTAGTTATGTTAGGAATTGACCCTTCCTAACCAAGATCGATGAGACACGAAATAACAAACAAAGGAGAAAAAACGAATCAAACAAACCACACACACAATAATACAAGGATTTACGTGGTTCACCCCGGAATAGGGCTACGTCCACGGCTGCTGCAGTTTTCACTATGATTAAAAAAATACAAATACAAATCTCTTTTAACTTAAAAGAGGTGCCTCCTCATCTATTTATAAGTATAGAATTAGGGTTACACGTACGCAACATGGGAATTACAAAAGTACCAAAAATTTCAGTGGGGGGGTAAACCCTCTCTGAACCCCCCTCTCCCTTGGGGGAAGGACCCCCCAAACCCCCAATTGGACCCACTGTTTGAGTGAACAGTACTTATTAGGGTCCATCGACCTAACAATCTCCCACTTGGAACTTGATAACACAATCTCTTCATCATCTTCATCTCATAAAGGAACGCCGCAACAACTCAATCTTCCTTCATCAATCTTGAAGGCCAACTAAAGTTGCACACAACTTCAGTTTGTCAATGGTGATTTTCTTGGTCAACATACCTGTCGGATTCTTACTGCCTTGGATCTTCTCAAGAGACAAGACTTCATCATTTACAAGTGAACGAATGAAATGGTATCGCAGCTGAATGTGTTTCGTCCTAGAATGAAAAGCCGGATTTTTTGCAAGATGAATAGCACTCTAACTGTCACTATGCAAAATATCCACCTCTTGCATCTTACCTAACTCTGCTAGGAAATTCTATAACCAAGTCATCTCCTTCCTAGCTTCAATAATAACAACATACTCAGCCTCTGTTGTAGAAAGTGCCATAATCTTCTGTAACTGCGAAATCCAATTTACTGTTGTACCATCCAATGTGTAAACATAACCAGTAGTACTCTTTATGTTATCCATATCACCAGCCAAATCTGCCTCAACATAGCCATGTAACCCGATTCCGGTTCGCGTGAAACAAAGTGTTATTTCTGTAGTATCACTCAAGTATCTAAGAATCCACTTCACTGCCTCCCAATGTTGCTTGCCTGGATTACTCATGTACCTACTAACCACTCTCATTGCATGTACAATGTTTAGTCTAGTACAAACCATAGCATACATTATACTACCAATAGCTGAAGCATATGGGACACGTTCCATGTAAGCTTGCTCTTTAGTAAGTCTGAAGTGGCTAGCCAATAGAGTTCTCACTGGTTTTGCACTGTCTATGCTAAACCTCTTGAGAACTTTCTTGACATACTCAGCATGTGACAACTTCAAAGTACCATTTGCCTTATCCCTGTGAATCCTCATAACAAGGATTTTGTTTATAACTCCAAGATCCTTCGTCTCAAATTGGTTGGACAAAATTTTCTTCAATCTTTTTATCCCTTCAATGCTAGATCTTGCAATAAGCATATCATCAACATATAAGAGCAAAATAATATAACTTCTGTCAAACCTCTTGAAATAACAACAATGATCTGCTTGACATTTTGTAAATCGTTGCTATACATAAACCCATCAAACTTCTTGTACTACTGCCTTAGGGCCTATTTCAACCAATACAAGCTTTTTCAAAGTTTGTATACAAACTCCTCTTTGCGAAGAAGCCTAGGGGTTGCTTCATGTAAATTTCCTCCTCCAAATCACCATAGAGAAAATTCGTCTTCACATCCATCTACTCAAGATACAAATCTTTAGCAGCCACAATTCCTAGCACCAATCTAATAGTGGTCAACTTCACAGCTAGAGAGAATTTTAGTGTAGTCAACCCCTTCCTTTTGCTGAAATCCCTTTGCAACCAATGTGGCCTTGCTCGCATCATGTTCTTGTTTGACCCTGCAAACCCACTTGCGTAAAGCTTTCTTATCCACTGGTAATTCAGTCAACTCCCATGTCTGGTTTGCCATGAGTGAATCCATTTCATCTTGCATAGCTGACTCCCACTTAATTGAATCATCAACCTACAAAGCCTCATCATAACTTTCGGGTTCACCTCCATCAAACAAAAACAAATAATGTGAAGATGAAGACCAACATTGTGTAGGTTTAGACTCTCTTTCTAACCGTCTCAACTTAGGAGTAGGAATATGTGGCTCAGTCTGTGGAATAAGATTTTCACAATTATTCTGAATCCTACTATTCAAATTACTCTCGCTAATCTCCTCTAACTCAACATGCTCATGACAAGTACCAGATTCAGATTCAGATGCAGACTTATCCCTATCTTTATACATTACTTTCTCATTAAATATGACATCTCCATTTCTAATTATTTTTCGATTTTTATCATCCCAAACTGATAACCAAATTGATCAAATCGAGCACCTGGTTATTCCAGAATCATGGAATTTCCCAATTTTTTTGGAATTTCCTCACCAAACCCTCCAAATTGTGGCACATACTATTATTACTACTTTTAATTTTTTTTTAAACTTAATTTTCTTTTTCCCAATACAGGTAACCTAGTAAAAAATAGTGGATTTGAAATGGATCCACATGTATTTAAGAACTTCTCAACAGAAGTCCTACTCCTCCCCAAAAACCAAGACTTAATTTCACCAGTCCCTAGATGGATCACTGAGTCACTCAAACCAACCAAATACATAGACTCAAAACACTACTCTTTCCTTTCCGAACTTGCCGCGATTGAACTAGTTGAAGGGAGAGAAAGTGCCATCGCCCAAGTCATAAGAACAATCCTTAACAAGTTCTACAACCTTACTTTCTCCATTGGAGATGCCAAGAATGGTTGCCATGGATCGATGATGGTCGAAGCTTTCGTTGCTAAAGAAACCCTAAAAGCTCCCCATGCATCTCATGGAAAGGGTGGGTTCAAGAATGCAAGTTTCAAGTTCCAAACAATTTCAGTTAGAACAAGGTTCGCATTCTACAGTTCATTTTATAACACTAAGGTTCATGACTATGGTCAAATATGTGGCCCTGTCTTTGACAATGTTGGGGTTCTGAGGGTATCTTAGTCATTTTGAGTGGATTTGTTAGCTAAAGTACTAACACTCAAATGGGTTATGAGTAATTTTTATAAGAAAGTTGAGTAATGATCTAGATATGGGGAATTGTATGTAATGACCTTGTGGGTTAAAAAGGGGTCATGTGTGAGTCATATTAGAGGGTTTTTTTATTTATTTATTTTTTTAAGTTAGTGATTTCAAGGCTGTCCTCTAATATGTATGTTTGAACTTTATACTTGTTATATGTACTTAATAATAAATACTATCTGAAGATATGATTATGAAAAATCTAGAAATCCCCTAGATGTTGATTTGTGATTATGTATCAATTTTAAGCAGAATATAACAATCCCAATCAAACAATCAAGACAAAGAGACACAAAGATTTAACGTGAAAAAAACCACAATTGGACACCTCCAACTGTGATCAAAAAACCACGGGCAACAGCCACAAGAACAATCCACTAAGAAGGCTCGAATTTTTCAGAATCCACCGAAGAACAACTCTCTCTTTTGTAGAACAAAACACAACCTTTGATGTACTCTCTTTAAACCATGAGTTGAATACTCAATAAAACATCAAAGAAAACTAGCAAAATCTCTCCAGATATAAACCTTAAGATCCAAAAAAAAAGATCTGGAGAAGTTTAATCAATATCATAGTTTTGGGAGAAAACCAAGTATTTATAGAAAACCAAAGCAATCCTAGTTTCAGAAGAAAAACAACTCCTTAACAGATCTGGAAATCTGGGATCGCGCGGTCCGCTCGAGCGGACTGACCAAAAACTGTGTGCGAACAAACTGAGATGCGCTCGAGCGTAAGAGAATCCGCTCGAGCGTAAAATCCCACCCACCAGTATTTTTTGCTTGCCCTGACAAAATACTGAGACCTGCTAATCTACGCTTGAGCTCACAAGGCTCCGCTCGAGCAGACAGAACAAAAACACAAAAAATTACAATTGAATCAACACAATGTTTTGTCTCTGGATTTGACAACATGGGTAGTACCTTCTCTGAAAAGCACAATTCGGGTTGGATTCGCATCTAAACACTCATAGCCTCACTGAAATAAAAGTGCGAAAAAAATACAACTGAAAGGAGTTTTGTCAAACGGGGTTGCCAAGAATAAAACCTAACAGATTAGAAAATACTATGTTATCTTTGCATCATTCAGAGGTATTTATGCTTGCAAGACTACTGAATTTTTATATGGTTGTAGTTTTGGGGCACCATATCCTAATCATATCTCGTCCATTAGTACTGAATAATTGGAAAATTCATTCAATTGATAGGTAATAAGTAAAATCGGGTGCAAAAAAGAGTAGAAGATATATATATATATATATATTAGAGCTAAAATAACAATGCTAAATAACTAATTTTATACGATAATTTTAAATCCATCAAGATTAAGCTATTTAATTCAATTTTTCAAATTCATTAGTAGATTATTGTATTTAAATTTGAGTACTATGCTTATTCTTTTAAGGTTAAATGGGTGCTCTGTTTTAGTTCCATGTCCTCTTCTCTCTTTCCCCTCTCTCTCTCTCTCTCTCTCTCTCTCTCTCTCTTTCCCCTCTCTCTCTCTTCTCTTCTAATTTAAATCCAAATCACACCAAAAAATATAAACCCAAATTCAAACCTTAAATAAAAAAAAAAAAGGCAATAATTAACTTTATGAATTTGTGATTAAGAGTTCTAAACCAAAAGGCACCTCTATATTGGAGGTGTCTTATACTACCATATAAGTCCATCTTGGATATAGTTTAACTATTATGATTTGTACAAGAAGAAAAGAAGCATTTAATACAAAAATACACATATTATTATGCAATAGGTGTAAGGCATTCTTTAAAACATACAAATCAAGAAACAGTTATTACAGTTGTTGAATTACTATTTGTAAGTCCAAATAATTTAAAATCACACATTGCCACAACTCACCTATCATTCTTAGCTATACTAGTGTAGAACAACACTTAAGCATCCATGTAAGTAGACTAGCAATTTCGACAGAATAGTCTCCATTTGAATAGCAACACTCAAAAAACAAATAGATGGATTAATCTTTGATATCTGATATGGTCTCATTTAGAACCATGTAGTACCTACAGCACATAAGTTATTCAAAATAAATAAATAAATAAAAAGAAAACTAAAATTGTATAAATAAAAGTGAAATTAAGAAAACAGAGAGGTAAAAAAGCAAATTATCTCTAGGAGTAGTGCAATTTATTATTATTTTTTTCTCTTCTCACATATTTCATCAATCATCCAACACAATATTCCACCTACTCATATTCTCCATCAATCATAATACTAAGGAGTACTACTTGTTCGTATTCTCAAACTACTAAATAATCGCCAGAGATTTGAGAGAGAAAATAAAAGAGGGGAAGACGGAAAGAAAAAAAAAATGTTTGTACAACAACATTGTTTTAGAACCATATCAGGAATAGTAGCACAATACTATTCACAATAGCAACACTATGGCAGAGGATCCAAACTCCTTTCTAATTGGCACAATAAAATCAGGCATCTATCTCCAAAACAAAAATAAAACAACACTACTCTTTATTAGATTGATAAAAAATTTCTAAATTGCAAGTGAAACATGTCTTTATGGACATATTTGATTAATATGATTATAGCATAAGATTTGGATTGTTAGTTCATGGACTCATAATCTTATATTTGATTGTAAATTTTATTAACCGGATTATATGTATAAAATTAACGAATTTTTAATATTGAGATGGACTGAGAATCACAATTTTTTTACGTATGAATGAAAAAAAAATACATAATAACTAAGGAAAATGTTTGAGGGCCACAATTTTTGTGGCTCAAATGGCTCAAAATTGCCAAAACGACGTCATTTTGGCAATTTTGAAATTGTTTTGTACTCAAAACGACGTCGTTTTAGCAATTTCGAGCCATTTGAGCCACAAAAATTGTGGCCCTCAATCATTGCTGAATAACTAATTATCACTAACTTAATTAGATAATTATTTCAATAGAATTATTAATCCTTACTAACCTCTGATTTTGTGACTGCAATGAAAATGATGATGACATGAGTACGGGTAGTAAGTCTCTATGCTTGTTTGGTCGGGGATGACGATCTCCTCTACTTTGCTTCTCCTTCCCTTTGGAAATGAAGAATGCAACTAGAATTACAGGGCAAAGTTTTTATCAGGGTTTTATATGCAACTCCATCCAAATTGTAATAAAGCAATTATGATGAGTCAGAAACTATTTGCTCCAAATTTTAAAAAGCAACTATGACATCATTCCATGGTATCGGGGAATGTTGCGCAACAACAACTGCTGTATAGCAAAATGAGCCCATTTCGATAATTTGAACCGTTCATATTTTGGAATATATCAAGTAGAATATTCTTGTAAAAAATCAAATTAATCAAATATCGTTTACCTATTCATCCACTCAAATTTATATTCATTTTAATACTTTAAATCACAATTATTTTTTATTTTTGTAGATACAAATGTAAGTGGACGAAGGGGTAAATGATATCTAATTAACTTGATTTTTTACAAACATGTTCTACTTAATATATTCTAAAATATGAACGGTTCGGATTATCGAAATGGGCCCCAAAATAGGCCAATTTCACTATGCAGCAATTGCTGTTGTATAACCCATGCAGCAACATCTCCACTTCCTCGTTTGTTGGGTTGGGGTGGACAGACCCACATGGAGATGTTTCATCATTTTTTGTGCGCCGTACATGACATGGTTCTGTTTTTTTAAAAGATCTTCCTTTTATGCTATCTTCACTCGCCTGAGCTAGCTAGCGAGGTCATGTCTAAGTTGATATCTCTTTGTGCCTAATGTATTTTTGGGCTTTTATCTTCTTTTGGGTTGAAATATATGGATTGGGTCTGGCCTAATATTTTTTCCTCCACAATATATATTAAGAGTTTTACAAAATAAACGATTTAAATTATCGAAATAAAGTTCATAATAATTTCCATGAGCCTTTCATGTCTCGAGTTTATATCTGAACTTAAGACAATCCCAAAGTGGGGCTACTCCTGGGACCACTTAATGAATAAATTTTAGATTAATTTTTTAATTTTTTTTTAGCATACTTATTGACTAATAGTTGACCCGTGTAATACATGTACTATTTTTTAAATATATATATATATATATATATGATGGTTCAATGTGTGATATAAAATAATAATTTTAATTTTAATTTTAATTTAAAATTAAAATCAAAGTATGATTTTAATTATTTATTTTGATAATAATGGCACTATCATTCCATAAAATTGTTACTTGAATACTTATATATATTAATTTTAATTAAATTATTTGTGTATTTTGATAATTTTAGATAAAACGTATTATAAAAGTGTAATTATCATACAATAATTTTGTATGATATATATTAAATTATAAAATACTAAAATAAATACTCATTTTGATATTAAAAATAATAGTTAAATTAGAAGAAGAATTAGTAACATAAAATTAAAAGTAATTCGAACTATTTAATTTTCGTTTATATTTATTTGGAAAATAAAAATATGTAAAAATGAAAATTTATTAAAAAAACTTAAATATAAATATGTTGTAATTAGATTATCATATAATGGTTTTTTATGATATATATATATATATATATTAAATTATAAGATTGTAAAATAAACACTCTTAATTAAATTAAAATATCGACTATATGAAATAAATTCAACAACTACTAATCAAGAAATAATCACACAACAATATCTAAACCCAAAAATTAAAAAAATAATAATAATGAAAATATTCAAACGATATACACATCTCAGTGTGTAAAGTGATTAATTGTTTGTAATATGATGTCAAAATATAAAAGAACTTAGTGGTCAACAATTAAAAAGGTAACTCAAGCAATAAATCTATACCTTAGAAGTTTCTCGAGAGTATCATTGTTATGCAAGTTTTTTCTCCTGTGGGTTATGATTATTATAAAATAATGTAGGAATTGAAATAT